CTCGGCTCGGTTTGCGTTTCCACTGCAGTTCAGTACCGCTTTAGAGTGGGCGGGATTATTCACATGTCGTTAGTTGTGCCACCTCTACTGCTGCGACTCCTGAAAAACTTTTTCATTCACTATCTCTCAGATGGACCATTGACACTCTATCTACAATCTCAATTAGGAGTGTCAATGGTCCATTTGAGAGATAGGTGGCGGTAATGCACTTATAAGTCTGCGATCCGCCGTAAAGCAAGAAGAAGAAGACGCGAATGCGCTCAGGACAGTTCAGACATTGCAGTGCATCAGAGGTAAAAAACTATATAAATACTGTTCAGTTTCTAGCACAGACCGATCGTTTAGTGTCTTTACACATCAATGTATCATCACGAGCCGCAGGGTTTAATTTGGTTTTGTTTGTGTGTTTTTTTGACTCTCAAAGCCGTGATTCCCATCCACTTCCATTATATGACTGACAGACTGCAACGGTTTGAGTTAAAAATCTCCATTTGTGTTCTACTGAAGAAACAAAGTCACCTACATCTGGGATGCCCTGGGGGTACGCAGATAAACATCACATTTTCATTTTGGGGTGAACTATCCCTTTAAGAGTGAAATAAGTTATAATTAAATGAAAATAAATGAAACCGATATAGTGATATTTAATAATAAAAATGACAAAAGCACATAAAAAATTTACCAAAAATTCAACTAAAATTAAAACGAAAACAGAAAATATGAAAATTAAAGCTAACAAAAATATTAGTACAAATTATAATAGTATCTAAATAATACAAAAAAAATATTTTAAATGTCTGCTGTAATGACAAAACTTTTGGCAACCAAGTCAAATCATTTTATAAAATAATTATATTCTTTAATTCAACAGAAAGTGAATGTTCTTCAGGATTCACTCAGTTCAAGAGCTATGAATTTACGCGAGTTTTCCAGTAGTTTGTGATCACAGGCTTATTTTCTAAACTGTTTGTTACTCAGAAATGGCGGTTTCTCCCCAATAAAATACATAAAACTAACAATATATCCAGATGACAACCCTGGTTCTTAATAGAAATGACAATTGTTCAGAGAACTAATTAAAATAAGAAATATGATCTCAGCTCACATCTTTAGCCATTTTAGCTTGTTTTAAAGCTCTTCAGGCAACAATTCAATGCTTATGAATGTAGTAGAAGCAATAATATCAAATAAAGTTAGATATGCAAAGTGGTACCGCCGGGAAACGAGGAGATGGTCTGGACCTTCATCTTCCTCCGACGTGACGCTTCAGGACTTCGTTACATCACTTCCTAACGGATAAAATCATTGGTTTCTCACTGAACGCTCAGAAACATCACATTTAACATCCAGAAACACACACACTCACACACACACACACACTCACACTCACACACACACACGCACGCACGCACGCACGCACGCACGCACGCACGCACGCACGCACGCACGCACGCACGCACGCACGCACGCACGCACGCACGCACGCACGCACGCACGCACGCACGCACGCACGCACGCACGCACGCACGCACGCACGCACGCACGCACGCACGCACGCACGCACGCACGCACGCACGCACGCACGCACGCACGCACGCACGCACGCACGCACGCACGCACGCACGCACGCACGCACGCACGCACGCACGCACGCACGCACGCACGCACGCACGCACACACTCACTCACACACTCACTCACGCACGCACGCACGCACGCACGCACACACACACACACTCTCGCTCACTCACGCACGCACGCACGCACTCACACACTCACGCACGCACGCACGCACGCACTCACGCACGCACACACACACACTCTCACTCACTCACACACACACTCACACACACACAATTAAAACACGGCACAGTAGATAGTTTACTGAAAACAGTTTAATTGTATTAACAATAAGTCAGAGAACAGTTACTGCATGACTTCAGCATCAGAGCTGCTGGAAAACACATGTGCTAGTTTCACATTAGTTACCAAAGCATGTTCACGTTTATGTACATAGTGCAAAAGACACACAGATGAAGATCACTCCAAACACAGAGAAAGAGACGGATCTGTCCCATCAGTACTAAGAGAAACCATTCAATCTGAGGACGCATGTGAAATTAAACGCCCTCCGAATCGGTCTGAATTCAAGCGCGATAAATAGAACCGAAGACGAGAATATTAGAAACATTTAAACATGTTATTTACACAGGATTCGTTTATTATGCACAAACTAATGCTGTTTCTCTTCTGCAGCGTTTGGTAATGCTTCCTGGTTAAACGAAACGCACGTTCAGATGAGAGTCCACGAGATCATTCACTCACTTTAAAAACGCATGACTTTATTCCTTCAGTGGAACACGGATGAGATGTTCAGCAGAACGGTCAAGCTGCTGGTTTCTCACGCAGAAGCACAAAAACACCGTGAAGCATCATGATTCATACAGCTCTAAGATCTCATATTTTAAAGGGATAGTTCAGTCACACATGTTCATTCTGACAGTCTCCCTCAAACGTGTATGACTGGCTTTCTTTAGAGGAGCACAAAAGAAAGTACTTTTTATCCATGTAATGGAAGTCAATGGGGTCCAAAGTAGGTTGTTTCCAAATGTTCTTCAAAATGTCTTTATGTTCCATAGAAGGTTTGAAACAACACGAGGGTGAGTACATGATGATCCCTTCAAGTCCGGTCGCACGACAGAACCACTTTGTGAATGCCTGATTTGAGATGTACAGGTATTTGGGTTTCACCCAATTCTAAACGAAGCATATGATGACTGTTATGATGCTTCTGTGTGATTTCTGGAGCATCGTGATGCTGAAGAGCAGCCTGAACGTCATCTGGAGACGTAGAGTCGCGTGAGTTATTCACAGAGAGCGTGTGAGTAGTTGGTCTGTCCGTTAGTTTCCTGAGTCAGTGTTTGTGGAACGTGTGCTCTGCGACCTCATCCTGTGGACGAATCCGCCGCGTCTTTGTCGTCGACCGCCGGTTCAGCGAGGTCAGAAGAGTCGAGCTCCTCCTCTTCCTCGTCTTCGTCCTCGGTGCTGCTCTGGCTGCGCAGCTGCAGGTTCTCCAGGGTTTTGGAGACCCAGGACTCGATCCTGGAGCTGAGTGGTGGCACCTGCACAGAGATGGGCTCGGGGGTGTAGTCCTCCTCCTCTTCCTCCTCCTCCTCCTCCTCCTCCAGCATGCCGGGCACCAGTGTGCTGGTGGTGCTGGTGATGGAGGAGTTGAGCCGGTCTCTGCAGCTGCCGTCTAGAGAGCCGGTGTCTGTGCTCTGCTGCGAGGCGCGCTCCAGCCGGTCGTCTGTGTGGGACTCGTCTTTCTCTGGAGCGCGAGCGCGAGCGGCTGCGGGGCTCGGGTCAGGGCTGGCTGTCGGCTGCTCTTTGCTGCTCGCTCTGCTGACGGGTTTGGTCTCCAGCGGCTCTGGAGCGTCTGCGCTCTCCACCATCGTCCTCCAGTTGGTCTCTGCAGAGAGAAGATTCAGAGTCAGACGCTCACCGGAACGACTCAAGGATTTAGTTGAGCAGCGTTTCTGCACTAATGCTGGGCAAAAATATCAGATCACAATTTGTGACCCTGGAGCACAAAACCAGTCATAAGGGTCAATTTATTGATTGCTGCATCAGCTGAAAGCTGAATAAATAAGCTTTCCATTGATGTATGGTTTGTTAGGATAGGATTTTTTTTATACCGTTTCCTTTCTTTGTTTAGAAGTTGTTTGTAATAATTTATTAGTCAGAACCGTTAATCAGAGACAGTAAACTAATGAAGACGGAGAAGCGTTCTCAGCGCTGTCAAAATAAAAGTCCCATGCGGCATCAAATAAACAGAAGAAATTATTGGCTGATGCCGATAAAAACAAGCCAAATACTGGCTTATTGTTATTAAAAGTAAAAATATAGATGCAAACTACAAGTACCAAGACAAATACAATACACGAAAGATACAAATAAACTGCTTTAAATTTTAGGTCCAGTAAGTCCATTTAACATCAGCAACCAAGTAAGAAATTTAATAATCACATATAAAAATAAAAAACTGCAGTCTTCACTGTATGAATGAAACATTCATTCATTTTCATTAAAGCTACTAAAAGTTACTCAGTCAAGAGCAGTGAGTGATTTTCTCATTTTCGTTTGTCAATAACATTAGCGGCATGTTTATTAGGCTGCTGTCACTTTAAGACCTGATGCACGGATCTAATATAGTGACACATCCAGTTTTCTTCCAACTGTATGTGAACCTTGTGTTTTTGTCTCATGTTTATTACTGTGAAGCTGCTTTGAAATGATCTGTATTATATAAAGCGCTATAGAAAAAAATGACGATGTGATTTTTGACAAAACCTTGTGTGTATTTGACAGTTTGAGTGCAGTAAGATGTGAAAGTGAACTCGGTTCATCACTCACACGCTGTGACAGTCTGCTTTCTGGAGGTTTAACCTGGCCAGGCGTTAAAAGTGTGTCTTACCGTACTCCTTCTCGTTGACCTCTGAGATGGGCTCGGAGATGACGCTGCAGAAAGAGATGGCGCTGGCGGCGGATGGGTTTCTGGAGTGGCCCATGTGGTGCGTGACCTTCTTGACATTCTTCAGTGCCTCCTCAGCCTGCTCCTGCTCCAGAGCGCTCACCATGTCCTTATACGCCCTCCGCGCCTCCTCCGTCAGAGACACCAGCTTATTGAACAGAGCCTGAACACACACACACAAACACACACACCTATAGTCATGCATCTGGCAGACGCTTTTATCCGAACAATGCATTTCAAGGATATATTTGATCAGTTCATGCATTCCCTAGGAATCGAGTGAGCGTGCATGAGTGTGTGTGTGTGGTGTACCTATTTTTCTATTCTGGTGGGGACTTAAACCTGAATGCACACAGACTCATGGGGACTCGTGTCATGGTGGGGACCTAAATTGAGGTTCCCACGGGTAAACAAGCTAATAATAAATCACAGTTTTTTGAAAATCTAAAAGTGCAGAAAGTTTCCTGTAAGGGGTAGGTTTAGGTGTAGGGTTGGTGTAGGGCAATAGAAAATATGGTTTGTAC